ATGAGCTTCGAAGCCTTCAGATTAAGATGAGGCGCACAGCGTCCGCGGAGGGGATCTGTCCATTAAGCCTTCGTTGTTTCTGACGACCTTTTTCTAGCTGTAGTAAGTCCTTGCAAGCACCCATGAGCTCGCATGGCGGCTGGACTTTTAACGTGTGGCTTTGGAAACCGGGGAGCCGGGTCCTAAAACATCAGACTGTGGGATGGCACGGAGATACCTCAGATACAGCCTGAAATCAGCTAAACTCCGGAAAGGTGGAACATGGATTGGGATGATCAGCGCAGGCATATTATCATGAATCAACTTTCTAGTGTCTGCAATAACCCGAAGCCGCCATCCTTTCTTTAACCTAAAATCCCTTACAAATAATGTTATGCCCTTCTGGATCCCTGAAAAAAAGGCCTGGATGATATAGAAGCCCCGTAAGTCGAACTACACCCCAAACCTGGTTCCCTGTTGGGGAGATCTTTAAAAAGGATCATTTTTAATCCTTATTGGAGTTGTATTAAAAAAAATGAACTGTATCCAACAAGGACCCAGAAACCCTACACGCCCTAAAGGCTACATCAACCTAAACCCTAAACTCCCGCCACCTTCAAGCGCGAGGTGGGGGGTGCGCGCAGACCAGTGGGTGCCTCGGGTTGAACACAGCGATGGCTGCAGGGCTGTAGGGTTTAAGGGTTTGGAGTATTAGGGGCTTGGCGTTTAGGGCTTTAGGGGGTTGGGTGGCGAGCCTAACCCAACTTTCGGATGCTTCATGTCTTTGGAACTTCTAGAACACCACCGACCCCCCTCTGAGAACCCAAATGATGCGGCCCTTATTGCTCCACAATGGACGCCAGCAATTGCTGGTCTATGTGTGTTTTAAAGCGATAGTGTAAAAGGAGCTTACGGATTTATAAGGTCTTTTTGAGGCACCCTCACTACTCTTACGCGCCCACAAAGTTTTCTCTATTCGTCTCTCTAGGCATATGAGAGTTTCAGAATACAGAGGCTGCCTCATCCGGGGGCTCTTCTCACAAAAAGGAACCTATTTAGTGTGCTATATTCGGGGGGCCATTATATTCTGAAACTCCCATGTATCGCCTCTTGCCAAGGCTTCAAGCACCAAAGTCTCACGTCCGGACCACTCATATCGGTGCCTAAATGCTTCGACTCGGGTTCGAACTGTTTGGGGGGGGGGGGGGGGGGGG